TATATGCACAGTAATATGTATGCCATCCGTTACCCTAGCATCCCATAACAGAAGCCTTACAGTGCTTACTTTGGGGCTAGGCTAATTGGTTTGTTGGAAACATCTATTTATTTATTTTATTTTATTGCAATTCCAAAAAACCGGATAAATGCGAGCTGGAATCTCTTTTTATTGCGTTAACTTAAAGTTAAGTTTGATTTTTTTACAGCTTCAAGAGACCGAGACTTGAGTGTATGGTTGCCATTTCACAAGAAGCCAGGCCTGCTTTGTTCTCCAGTATTATTATTTTCAAAATATTTGCTAAAAAATGCATTTACGGAGGTTGTACGTACATTGTTCGAAAGTTAAAAATTACGCACCATACAACAGACCCACGACAACGGCTAACTAGAGCCGGGGTCCGAGTCTCAGAGACGCCCTCTAGTTGAGCCGAACCCCTCAGGTTCGAGTGGTCTAGAGGCTCCAGACGGAGAGGAGACTCCTCCCGTGGGGAGACGCCATCCGAATGGAATACCTCTAGTGGCACTCGCCAATTCTCGGCTTGCGGTCCCCTTAGGATGTCGCCGTCCCCAAGCCCGGTGACGCTGTAAAGGTCATCTGCGATCAACAGCATACACACTCAAATAAAAAAACAGCGTGCGGTAAAAAAAATTCCGCACGCTCAGTTATATGGCACCGTGTCCTTTACGGTTTTTTTTATTCCGATAGAACCTCTTTGGAAACGCTCTTGCTTTATACGTTTTGTCTTAAATACTTAAAAAAGAAAAAGAGCCGAAAGATGTAGTTCTAATCTCTTATCTAATAGACAAGTCCGTCCGTCCGTCCGTGGTGCTGTTTCAGCGGCCAAACCGTAAGAGATAGATATAGAGAATGTTTAAGTTATAAGTTAAGAATAGTCTGATAAGACTACAAACCGGATGTGAGTAACGTAGCACTTCCGGTTTTCGAGAAATCACGTGATTTCTATTTCAAACGAAACCACACAAAATCTCCGAAGTTCTCAATTAATTAAATACATTTTTTTTTTGGTGAACATTTGGTTCACAGGTTTGCTAGTTAGTTATTATTAAGTTAATATTTATGTATTACCGTAACTTCCTCACTCACTATGTTCACCTCCCGAGTTTTGTCAACATATTGTTATGCGAACCATTTAGAAAAACTGAAATGTTAGGTCTTTGCGTTACGAGCTCAGCTCAGTGCAAAACCACTGTTTAATTGTAAGCTAAGTTAAAATTTTGTATTGGTGAATAAATATATTTTTGTTTTTCTGTTTTTTTTTGGTTTTCCACCACCAGCACATGGCGCCATGTGGAAACGAAGAAAAAGTTTGCTTCATTACTTAAAAATCATACTGTTTTCTCGTTGTATGGATATTCGTGCGGAATTGGTATTAACAAACTCGTGACTATGGTAAGAGGCTCCGATCGTTGAAGTTAAGCAACTTTCGCAGTGGTCGGTCATTGGATGGATGATCAAAAATCTTCTATCTCGTGTTCCTCCGTCCTTCGGAAGGCACGTTAAGCCGTTGATCCCGGCTGAGTCTGCAGTCGTTAGCACCCGCCAATCCGCATTCGGCCTATTGTGTGATAATTCTTCAAAACGCCAATATCAACATATTTGATTTCGTTTCGTGGCTTGCGTCAAAATCTGAACGTTTTTTAATAAGCCAAATTGTGTTCGAAGAGATGTGATGTGTGATGATGAGAAGGAGCTGCAGCGAATGGTGGTCGATTGTCAAATTTCCTACCTACGCATGCAGTGGTATTCTGCGTCATTATGAACATGAGCAAGATGCAATGACATAAATGCTCATGCTCATAAATGATGATGGCGTGAGATAAGGTCATGCCATCCACGAATCCGCAATGGGCCCGCGTAATGGGTCATGGCCCAATCTACCTATTCCATCCATAGGAAAGGCCTGTGCCCCAGCAGTGGGGACATTAATAGGCTGATGATGATGATGATGACTATGGTAAACCCACGACTTCGTCTCCTCGTTTGTAATAACCAACTCACCGCACTAATAATAAACACATAATATAAACATTGCAGAGATATATTGATTTGAAAAGTCGCATGACGTCACGTTTGAGTACACTTATAAGTGAAAATTCACTCAAAAGTGACGTCACGAGCCCCTACTTTTGACAAACTTTGACGCGCTATAACTTTGTCATTTTTTGGTTGATTGCCCAAAGAAAAAATACGTGTCCATTATTTTTTGATCATCTAACTGACGGACTAAATAGAATTTCGTTTACTGTACCCCGTCATCACCCCTATTGTAAAGTAAGGCTAAATTGATGTGAATGAATACCTACAGGGCGGCAGGCCCTGTTTAGATTATAACCAATTAACAGATTATCGTTATTCTATCATAAGTAGCAATCTTAATCAAATACAATCGAGCAATTTAAATACGATAATAAGTCGAAATTATTATGCCTGACAATCTATTCTACAGGCTTAAGATAAGAGACAAATTGTAGAATATCTCAATAATAAATCAATTAATATGTGCAAGTAACATCATCATAATCACCAGCCTATTAATGTCCCCACTTTAAGGGCACACGCCTTCCCTATAAATAGAATAGACGCGGGCCCAACGGGTAACTTGCTTTTCGAAGCACGGAGGAGCTCGAGATAATAAGTTTTATGTTCACCAATCCAATGACCGACCATTGCGAAAGTTGCTTAACTTTCACGATCGCAGACCGAATGCGCTAACCGCCTGTGCCAACGAGCTCCTCATGCTGCTACTGGCGAGACTATAATAATTACTCATGGTTTGCTTACTCTGATCTCGTCTACCATTCCTTTTCATACTGTAACTTGAGACTTCTTGTTGTTTGATCAATAAAATGGGCAAGGAAATCCTACCAGTCTGGCATTCAGTAAAATAATGGCTACTAATACTATACTATTTAGCTACAGTTTCTATAAGGCAATGGATAAGGCATTAAGATAATCTCTGACAGTGCATCCGTGCTTCAATCCCTACGTAGCAACATAATAAACTCTGTCCTGGTAGTGGAGTGCCACAATGCACTTTAATCCATTGCGGTAACCAACACAGTAACTCTGCAATGGATAAAAGGACACAGCAACTCAATCGGAAACGATGCAGAAGACGAACTGGCTAAGAGAGGAGCAGGCACAAAAGTGTATGGTCCGGAACCTCTTCTGCCCATACCTCAGGCCCATATTAAAACTAGGCTGCGTGATATAACTCGGAAACTACACTTGACTGAGTGGAAAACAGGTGAAGGATGCCGCAAGGTGCAAACGAAAAACGCAGTTTCGGCGGCAAACAAGAGAGTTGCCTGCACCCTTACCAGACTTAATAGGGACAAACTCCGCATTTACAATTATAGGAACACTGACTGGTCATTGTCCCCTAAACAAACACCTATATACACAATAGGAGTGACAGACAGCCACCTATGCAGAGGATGTATGGAGGCGGAGGAAATGCCACAGCATGTCATTAAGGAATGCAGGAGCGACCAACGGGCACGACTTCTCCAGTCGCCAGCATCGCTTCCGGAAGCTTGCAGCAGTCTGCCAAGACTGCTTTCCTTCTGGGGGCCATTCGCCTAAGGGAAATGCTTTGGAAAACGCTAACGCTTACGATTTCATTTTGTTATTTCTAGCCGCCTGAGGTTTTTAAATGCCTCGCGCTCTTTTTTTTTTCTTTTGCATTGGCAAGTAAAAAAAATGAGCGTGAGGTATTTGAAAACCTTCGGCGGTCAGAAATAACAAAAATAAATTGAAAGCGTTAGCGTTTTCCTAAGCATTTCCTTTAGGCGAATGGCCCCCTGGACTAACCTAGGCGGACTGGAGTAAACGGGAATGTTTCAAGACACGCACAATGGTCCAATGATTAGGACTAAGTGCGGAAACCGCCCTGAAAAACTAACTAACTAAGGCAATGGATACTTTAGCCAGAAGCATCGCTGCTTTGGGCAAAAAATAATAACTGTACTTTATGTACAACATTCAAAAGTATAATTTTATCTGTTTTCTTTGCTCTCTTATCAATTATATGAATGTATCATTTAACATAAAGCAATTTAAGATAATATCAGTTGACCGTTCGATCCTATAACATTCTGGGATTTTTTCAAAAATTTAAACTTGTTGCAATGACCATGGTTGCTGATCTGTGTTCTATGCCTAGAAACAGAGATCACGTTTTTAAATGCATATAACTGTCAAGCACCCATAGTAATTTGACAATTGAGCATGAAACAAATGTGCTACATAGCATACCATGGTGCTCATGCTAGGGAGCCTGGTCTTTGCTTTGCTAAAAGTGATAAAACTTTAAAATAATCAATTATGCAGGCAATACTCGTTAGTTGTCACATAGAAATATAACTGTAAACTTTTTTATACACCAATAACCAAAAACAATATGACACAAACAATGTGTTTCTAAAAGCAAATTCAAACATACACACAAATGAGGTCACAAAATCAAAGTTTGGGGTCAAAAGTCCTTCACCAACACAGTAAATTAAAACAAGTAAATCAGAAGGCCAAAAATATAAAAATATAAAAAACTAAACAACACAAAACAAATAAAAAAACAAGTAATATAAAAAACAAAATATCTGCTTGATGACAAAAGTTATGAAATTTTTGCTTGCTCTCATAGAATGCCAATTGATTTTAATGCTTATGAAACTTACATATGTTACATTATTTGATGATAATCATAAAGAAATGGACAATATCCACTTTATCAAAATTCAAAACTATTTTGTCTTGAAAATATTACCAAAAATGCTGTAATAAAAAGAATAAAGGATAATTTTATTTATCACTAGATATATGTACATTAACACATTTAATTAATTCCAAGTATTTTGTGAATGCATATAGAAGAACAATAAAGATTTCTGTCTATACGCTTGATTATTTAGTAAAATTTTGTCATCAAGCAAACACTATTAAAACTAATGAAAAGAAAATGAAAATGAACGCACTTCTAATGACACTGCATCTACTTTTCCACTCACTATCAGATCGTCCTCTCGTATCCTCTCCGAGTTTTTGCTACCAGCGCGGAAGGTTGCAGCTACATATTTTTGTTCGTCTTTTGTTAGCAATGTGCATTTTGCTGCTAACTTTTTACTAGTGTTTCCCATTCTGAAAAATTAAATTAAAATAATTTAAATGGCCAAAGCTTATATTTTTTTTATTTGGTACGTCAACATTTTTTACAATGTGTCTTTTACAAATTCTACAGTTAAACTAATTGTACAAATTTTTTAGATGAACACAGCATGCCTGCTTATGGTACTCTTAATATAATTTTAAACATTTAACACTAATGCAAAAACTATCTATATAGCCCAAAATCAAAATAAAAAAAAAAGAAATTTCATACAAATTGAGCCCAAATCAAAGAAACTCTGGTTTTACTTGTCCTGGTGCAAAGCAATAAAAAGTCACTGATTCTTTTTACATGGAGCCGATACGTTCAAGTTGGTACTAAACTGAGTCAATGTTACAATAATCTTATTAAATTATTTGACTTTTTATCTGTAAATATCAAAGGCAATCGTTACTGACTAACTAATCTATCAACCCATAGCTCAAACCACTGAGCTACTCACCCCTGCCCTAAAAGAGTATAACAGGGGTTAAAAGTTTGTATGGGAAATGAATTATTCCACGCAGACGAAGTCGGGGCCACCCACTAGTTATATTATATTACATTTAATCTTTATAATAATAACTTAACAAATTAATCTTACAATATTTTTTATTTTTAAATAATAAAGCAAGTTGGTTTGTAAAAGAGTAACAACCTAAAAACTATATTTTCTATGTGTATCATTACGTTCAAATAGCCCAAGCTATTCAGAGAGCCATGGTCAAGGTTTGACCTTAATGTAAACATAACATTTAAACTACAAGTAATTATTGTGTTACAGATTTCAAAGAAAATAAGATCATGAGGTGTGCTATGAAGAAAATGTCATGAATATTATATTAGCATTGTAACAAAATATTATTATTAGATAAATATAAAATCACTACATTACCTTTTGACACGACACAAACAAACAATTATTTATATGGGCACCACTCTCACAGAAGAAAAGTATAACGTTTTACAACACATAACCACGAGTTATATCAGTTAACTTAAGTTAGAGTATAAAACAGATAAGCCTTCATTATTAGCGACAGCTAAATTAAGTAGCAGAAACTATAATAAATCAATATTTCGCGACTACATTTTATTTAAAATTAGGTTACCTGTCAAAAATATGTCAATGTCAACAACTTAACTAACTTTTTTTTGTATTTGTATTCCGAAACGCAGCGGTCACGAGACAACGTGCGTCAAACTCTTCCTCACCGCGACTGCCTTATTTAACATGCGTTACACGGAAAGGTCTCCTTACAGGCAATTCAATTTACTAAAAATTAACTAAACAGTAATTCAATAAAGGCCGCAAACACTTTTTTATGTAATATATTTTCAAATTATATAGTATTTTAAATGCCTGCATATTTTCAGTAGAAAATCAACATTGGAAATGTTACTACTTTCGCAATTTCGCCAGTAAGTTACCTTATTATACCTACATTTTCGTATAGATTTGCGATACGATAGCAATTGCGATTTACGATCTCGATAAAACATTGTTTAGTCGTAAATAATAGGTGTAACAGGTTCGATTCCTTTTGGCTAAAAATCTATAATGATTCTTTTCATGCAATCAACAATGGGTATTTTTAAACATTTTAATAATTATATAACTAGCGACTATCATTACATACAACTTTGAGAAACATTTCAGTTTGAGATCTTTTAATATGTATTATGGGATTTTTAGAATTAATTTTTGATAATAGGAAATACGTAATGCGTGCCGCCTGCACGAATTATTCTCAGGCAGGTGCTCATGACTTTAATAATTTATTAATATTGTTATGATGCCTGTATTATTATTTTACCTGTATATTTAAATCTTTATATTTTTTCTTTTCCGGGACTGCAAACGCACCCACACCCACACTGCTGCATTGGCGCTCGGATAAAAATCTACCTAACTATCGTTCCTTCACCAGTCTACAAAGACATAAAACACATAGGTATTTGGTATATTTTGTCATCCGTGGTTCTAGCCAAGGGCTCAGCAAATCAGGTTACAGCAAAGTTATTTTTCAGTCTTGGTCGTCGCTTTGATATTTTTAATGAAAAGTTTTTTTGCATTTGGTTCCCCTTTCCTACCCCTAAATGTTACTACCTGAACTTGATGCTATTCAGTAACAACAATTTACATTATCGTTATAAACCTCCAATCCCCTACCAACTTTTAATAAGTCCATGCCTACAAAAGTTTCAAAGTTGTACGGACCTTTGATATTATTATGCTTTACCAGCAGCACGGGAAATATTGCAACTGGTGCATCCTATGTTTTTCTTCTACACTCATTCACTTGCTCGCATATGAGTCAATAAACTGAAACATTTCACATCCGCCGTAATGAAAATCGATGTTTATGACATCAGAGTCCGATCTGTGATCAGTCCCTGTAGCATGAGCACTACGTTATACATTTTATCACGTTTTTATCATGTCTAACTCCATAGTAATTTGACAATATAGCGTGATAAAAACGTGCTTTATATCATAGGGGAGCAGACATGTCTAATGATAAAATGGCATTTGACGTGAAAATAAGGAGAAGATCGGAGATTTGGTTTACTTTCGGATCAAATACAAAGACGAGGAATTTAAAAGGGGTTTGGGGTTTACATTACAAAGAAATCATGTGAAGCTACCTGTTAGAGCGACAAATTGCTAGGAGTTTATATTTGCGTGTAATCTCATTGCTGTTATTCGTATGGTTTGTGGTTGTCAGAATTATTTGAATATACTGACTGACATGCACTTCAAGTTTTTGGTTGTTACTTGCTTAGATACGTTGTTTGTACTCATGTGTTCTATTTTGTTTGTAAATATATATTAAGTCAATATTAGCTGGCATTCTTTATTTATTATATATGATCGAGGTTATCTAGTCCTCGATCAGGTTATGGGCCGCATATGATAAATATAAGAAGACTTAAAATATGGCTACACAAGGAAATAGTATGAAGGTAAATTCGAGCAGCGATGGATCGGAGAGATCTCAGCCTTCACACGACACAGGTATGAGCATAGAGAAACTCGATGGAAATTCGAATTATAGTACTTGGAAATTTTTGGTAGAATTATATCTAATTCACGATGATTTATGGGAGTACACACAAACAACGCCAGATAAAACTGATGTAGTAGGCTGTAGGAAAGACCAAAAAGCGAGAGCAAAAATATGCTTGATGGTAAAGCCCCACTGTCTGATTCACGTTCGAAACGCTAAGACAGCTAAAGAAGCGTGGGACGCTTTGAGATCGGCTTTTGAAGATAAGGGTCTTAACAACCGTTGCAGACTTTTGACCAAGTTAGTTAGCCTAAAACTTGAACAATTTACATCAGTTAGGAGTTATGTAACAGAAATAATGTTAGTAGCGCAGCAATTACGGGACATCGGTAAAGAAGTTGACGATGAGATGCTAGCTGCTCTCATGTTACAAGGTTTGACCGAAACTTTTCAACCAATGAGGCTTGCGATTGAAAACTCAGGAGTAGAGTTGACCACAGATTACATAAAAACCAAATTACTTCAAATGGAAGATTCGTATAACACTAGTAGTTCAAGCAGTAATGATATAGCATTGCGTGTTGATACACATAACAAGACTAGGAGATTTCCATACAAGAAGTCACAGAAGATAAAATGCTTTATTTGTAATGGACCACATAAAGCGAGAGATTGTCCAGAGAACTCAAAAAATAAGAAGGCTTCGTTAGCATTGGGACTTGCAACTTCAGGAAAACCAGACGAGTGGATTTTAGATTCTGGGGCATCAAGCCATATGACTAACAGCAAAGAGTATTTAATGGACGTTAGAATGTATGACAAAAAAGTGGAAATCGGATGTGCGAATGGTAGTAAAGTATATGGTATTGGAGAAGGTTCTGTGGTATGTAAGGAGAATGTTGCAGGCGTAAGTGAAGTGATGTATGTACCACACTTAGCAACTAACTTGTTGAGCGTGAGTGCTATTGTAAAGAAGAATGTAGTTGTTGTATTTTCAGCGAAAGGCTATGAACTGTTGAAAGCGGATGGATGTAAGGTTACTGGTGATGTCTTATATACAGGTGTGGAGGATAATGGTGTTTATAAACTTAAGCTCTGTTCACAGGAGAAAGCACTAGCCTCGACTGTCAGTACCATAGACATAGAGTTGTGGCATAGACGTATGGGACATCTTGGTGTACGGAACCTTAAGCTGCTGAGAGACAAATTGGCTACAGGGGTAAGTTTTACTAATAATCCAGTTAACTTACAGTGTAGAGCTTGTTTGATGGGAAAGCAGACCAAACAACCGTTTAAAAAGGGTTTAGCAAACAGAGCTGATGATATTTTAGGTTTGGTTCATACTGATGTATGTGGACCAATAAGTAAAGACTCAATGTCGGGCTGTAAATATTTTCTAACGTTTATTGATGATTTTACAAGAAAAACTTTTGTATATTTTATCAAAAACAAAAGTGAAGTCTTTCAAAAATTTTTAGATTTCAAGACATTTGCTGAGAACCAGTCTGGAAAGAAATTAAAAATTCTTCGATCGGATAATGGCAAGGAGTATGTCAATGAGCAGATGAAGAAATTTTTGAAGCAGTGTGGTATACAACAGCAATTAACGGTTGAGTATACACCCGAGCAGAATGGAGTTGCAGAACGTGCAAACCGCACAATAACAGAAAAAGCTAGAAGTATGCTTCAGGAAGCAGAGCTAGATGAAAAGTTCTGGGCAGAGGCGGTGAACTACGCTGTGTATTTAAAGAATAGATCACCGACCATTGCAGTTAAAGGTAAAACGCCAGAGGAAGCGTGGACTGGAAGGAAGCAAGACTTAAGCATGCTACGAATTTTCGGATGCAAAGCGTTTATTCACGTACCAAAAGTAAAACGGACGAAATGGGACGCTAAATCTAAAGAAATGATTCATGTAGGCATCTGTGAAGAATCGAAAGGCTACCGCTTAATAGACCCAATAACTAATCATTTAAGCAAG